AGAGTATTTCTATTGGGTGGATGCGCACGGCAGGGTGAGCGGGGAGCGGGGGGAAAATGGGGTGAGATACGGGAGGCAGGGGGGACGAAGGGGGACGGGAGGAATGGGGGGAGGTGGGGGAGTGGGGGGGAGGAATGGGGGAGAAAGGGGGGAGTGGGGGAATAACGGGAGATGGGGAGAAATGGGGCAAGGGGGGACATGGGGGGGGGGAAGGGGAGGAGGGGGCGTGGGGGAGGAGGGGAAGATGGGGAGAAGTGAGGGACGTGCGGGGTGTGGGGGGTAATGGGAGATGGGGGGCGTGGGGGGAGGAAAGGAGGAGATAATGAGAGATGGGGGGATTTGGGGGGCACAGAGGGAAGGGGGGAAGGAGTAGGGGAGGGGGGGGAATGGGGGGGATGTAGGGGTGGGGGGGATGCCGGGGGGGAATGGGGGATGTGGGGAGGGGGAGGGGACGTGGAGGGGGTGGGGGGGAATGGAGGATGTGGGGAGTGGGGGGACGTGGGGGGGAATGGGGGAGGTGGGGGTAATGGGGGATGTGGGGAGGGGGAGGGGACGTGGAGGGGGTGGGGGGGGAATGGGGGACGTGGGGGTAATGGGGGATGTGGGGAGGGGGAGGACGTGGGGGGGAATGGGGGATGTGGGGGGGGGGGGGACATCGGGGGGAGTGGAGGGGAATGGGGGATGTGGGGAGGGGGGGATGCGGAGGGGGTGGGGGGGAATAGGGGACCAGGGGAGGGAGGGGATGTCGGGGGGTGTAGGGGGGAATGGGGGGAAGGGGGGACGTGGGGTGGAGGGCATGGGGGTGAAGGGGGATGGGGGGCAAGGCGGGACGTGGGGAGGGGGGGACGTTGGGGGGATGGGGGGGAGGTGGGACATGGGGAGGGGGGGCATGGGGGGGAATGGGGGACGTGGAGAGGGGGGGATGAAGGGGAATGGGGGGCATGGGGGAAGCGGGCAGGAACTGGAGACATGGGGGGCAAAGAGGCCTAATGGGAGAGGTGGGGGAGTGGGGGGGGATATGGGGGGAAGGGGGAGTGGGAAGGAAGGGGGAGAAATGGTGGGGAGGGGGGTGGGGGCATGGGGAAAATGGGGGGGGAGACATGGGGGAGGTAGGGGGGGATGAAGGGGAGTGGGGAGGGGTGGGGGGATGGAGGGGAATGGGAGACGTGGGGGGGGAGAAAGGGGAGTGGGGAGGAATAGAGGGAAAAGGGGGGGGCAAAGGGGCATGGAGACATAATGGGAGATGGGGGGAGTGAGGGGACGTGGGGGGAGAAAAGGGAGTGGGGAGGAATGGGGGGAGAATGGGAGATGGGGGGATGTGGGGGGGAGAGGGGGGATGAACTAGGAGCACTGGGGGGGAGAAATAAGAGGGACTGGGGGGGGAATGAGAGGGACTGGGAGGAACTGGGGGGGAACTGGGAGCACTGGGGGGGATGAGAGGGACTGGGAGTGACTGGGAGGAATAGGGGGGATGAGAGGGACTGGGAGGAACTGGGGGGGACTGGGAGGACTGGGGGGGGAAATGAGAGGGACTGGGAGGAACTGGAGGGGGACTGGGGAGGGACTGGGAGGAACTGGAGGACTGGGAGGAATGGGGGGGATGAGAGGGGCTGGGAGAACTGGGGACGGGAATGAGAGGTATTGGGAGGACTGGGGGGGGACTGGGAGCACTGGGGGGGATGAGAGGGACTGGGAGGACTGGGGGGGGGGGACTGAGAGGAATGGGGGGACTGGGGGGGATGGAGGGGGAATGAGAGAGACTGGAAGGAACTGGAGGGGACTGGGAGGAATGATGGGGAAATGAGAGGGACTGGGAGTAACTGGGAGGATTGGGGGGATGAGAGGGACTGGGAGGAACTGGGGGGGGGACTGAGAGGAATGGGGGGACTGGGGGGGATGGAAGGGGAATGAGAGGGACTGGAAGGAACTGGAGGGGACTGGGAGGAACTGGGGGGGGAATGAGAGGTATTGGGAGCACTGGGGGGGGACTGGGAGGACTGGGGGGGGATGAGAGGGACTGGGAGGACTTGGAGGGGGGACTGAGAAGAATGGGAGGGACTGGGGGGGATGGGAGGAGGAATGAGAGGGACTGGAAGGGGAACTGGGAGGGGAACTGGGGGGGGAATGATGGTATTGAGGAGCACTGGGGGGGGTAACTGGGAGGACTGGGGGGGGATGAGAGGGACTGGGAGGAACTTGGAGGGGGGACTGGGAGGAATGGGGGGGACAGGGGGGGGATGGAAGGGGAATGAGAGGGACTGGAAGGAACTGGAGGGGACTGGGAGGAACTGGGGGGGGAATGAGAGGGACTGGGAGCACTGGGGGGGGACTGGGAGGAATGGAGGGGGAATGAGAGGGACTGGGAAGAAATGGGGGGGAATGAGAGGGACTGGGAGGACTGGGGGGGGACTGGGAGGAGATGAGAGGGACTGGGAGGAACTGGAGGAGGACTGGGGAGGAATGGGGGGGACTGGGAGCACTGGGGGGAGACTGGGAGGAATGGGGAGGAAATGAGAGGGACTGGGAGGAATGGGGGGGAATGAGGTACTGGGAGGACTGGGAGGAATAGGGGGTAACTGGGAGGACTGGAGGGGGAAATGAGAGGGACTGGGAGGAATGGGGGGGGGACTGGGAGCACTGGGAGAGGGGTTGAGCTGCTGTGGTCTCCGCAGCTGTACTTGGATGATGCCAAAATGAAGAACTTTGTCACCTGCTTCAAAGGTACGGGGACAGCGTGACACTGCTGGGGGACAGCGTGACACTGCTGGGGGACAGCGTGACATGTGACAGCGTGACGTGTGACAGTGTGACATGTGACAGTGTGACATGTGACAGTGTGATATGGGGACAGTGTGACATGTGACAGTGTGACATGTGACAGTGTGACATGGGGACAGTGTGACATGGGGACAGCGTGACAGTGCATGGTGACGGTGTGACGTGTGACATTGTGACACTGCTAAGTGATAGCATGATGTGACAGTGCTGAGTGACACCGTGACATGGGGACAGCGTGACACTGAGTGACGCCGCAGTGTGGTGACAGCGTGACATGGGCACAGTGTGACACTGAGTGACATGGGGACAGTGTGACACTGAGTGACGCCGCAGTGTGGTGACAGTGTGACATGGGCACAGTGTGACACTGAGTGGCACTGCAGTGTGGTGACAGTGTGACATGGGCACAGTGTGACACTGTGACAGTGTGACATGGTGACAGTGTGACACTGAGTGACATGGGCACGGTGTGACACTGAGTGGCACTGCAGCGTGGTGACAGCGTGACACTGAGTGGCACGGGCACAGTGTGACACTGAGTGACATGGTGACAGTGTGACATGGGAACAGTGTGACATGGGGACAGTGTGACACTGAGTGACATGGTGACAGTGTGACATGGGAACAGTGTGACATGGGGACAGTGTGACACTGAGTGACATGGGGACAGTGTGACATGGGCACAGTGTGATACTGAGTGACATGGGAACAGTGTGACATGGGGACAGTGTGACACTGAGTGACACTGTGACAGTGTGACATGGTGACAGTGTGACATGGGGACAGTGTGACACTGAGTGGCACTGCAGTGTGGTGACAGTGTGACATGGTGACAGTGTGACAGTGTGACACTGAGTGACATGGTGACAGTGTGACACTGAGTGACATGGGCACAGTGTGACATGGGCACAGCGTGACACTGAGTGGCACTGCAGCGTGGTGACAGTGTGACATGAGCACAGTGTGACACTGAGTGACATGGGGACAGTGTGACATGGGCACAGTGTGACACTGAGTGACACTGCAGTGTGGTGACAGTGTGACACTGAGTGACACTGTGACAGTGTGACACTGAGTGGCACTGCAGCATGGTGACAGTGTGACACTGAGTGACATGGGCACAGTGTGACACTGAGTGACACTGTGACAGTGTGACACTGTGACAGTGTGACATGGGCACTGTGACATGGGGACAGTGTGACACTGAGTGACACTGTGACAGTGTGACACGGTGACAGCGTGACACGGGCACAGTGTGACACTGAGTGACCCCGCGGTGCGGTGACAGCATGAGATGACGGTGACCCGACGGCGGCGCTCATCCCCCCCCCAAAGCCGCAGACAGACGAGCCCCCGGCTCCCCGTGCCTCATTACCTCCCGCTCGTTAATTAGCGCCCTTTGCCGCCCCGCAGACGAGCGTTTCCTCGCCTTCTTCTTCCACCGCCTGCAGCCCAACCGCAGCGGCCGCTACGAGGATTCCTTCCCCTTCGTTTCGCCCTGCGGCGCCGAACGCAACTTTGTGCGCTGCCAGGACCTTCCCATCGTCTTCACTCGGGTCCTGGAAGGGGAAAGCGGCGGCTGCCTGCTGTCGTACTGCGGAGGCGGGAGTCGCCTGGCGCTGCCTTTTCAACCCGAATCGTTGACTTTCGATCCCGACAACGGGAGGTTGTATCATCCGGGACCCGAGGGGGGAGGCGGGGTGGGGTTGGTGAAGTCGGCGCTGGTGGAGGAATGGGGGGACGGCTTTGAGTATGGGGAGAAGGGGGGGGGAGGAGGGAAGGGGGTCCCGACCCATTTCGTGTGGGGGGGGAAGCGTTACGCCTTGGGGCATCCGCTGCTGGGGAGGCTGAGGGCATTGAGGGGGGGGGGGAAGGGGGGAAGGGAGGCGGGGAGGGGGGGAGAGCGGCCGTGTTGAACCCAAACCTCGTGGGAGGGGGAGAACAGGGACAGCTGGGGGTCCCTTCATCCTTGGGTCTATGGGGTGGGGGTGGAAGAGACCCCTGGGGTCCTTAAACCCCATGGGATTGGGGTGGAAGAGACCCCTGGGGGTCCCTAAAACCTGTGGGATGGGGACAAGAGGGACAGCTGGGGTCCCTTCATCCTTGGGTCTATGGGGTGGAGGTGGGAGAGACCCCTGGGGGTCCCCATTGTCCCCATAGGACAGCGATGGGGACCCTCAGGATCCCCTTCATTGTTATGGGGTGGGGGTGGGACGCCAGAGGTCCACGTTGTCCCCAAAACCCATGGGATGGGGACAAGAGGGACAGCTGGGGTCCCCTTCATCCTTGGGTCTATGGGGAGGGGGTGGGAGAGACCCCTGGGGGTCCCCAAAACCTATAGGACAAGGATGGGGACCCCTGGATGTCCCCTTCATCCTTATGGGATGGGGACAAGAGGGACAGCTGGGGTCCCTTTCATCCTTGGGTCTATGGGGAGGGGGTGGGAGAGACCCCTGGGGGTCCCCAAACCCCATGGGATTGGGGTGGAAGAGACCCCTGGGGTCCCCAAAACCCATGGGATGGGGACAAGAGGGACAGCTGGGGTCCCCTTCATCCCTGGGTCTATGGGGTGAGGGTGGGAGAGACCCCTGGGGGTCCCCAAACCTATAGGACAAGGATGGGGACAAGTGGGGACCCTTGGATGTCCCCTTCATCCTTATGGGATGGGAGGGACAACCAGGGGTCCCCGTCATCCTTGAGTCTATGGGGTGGAGGTGGGAGAGACCCCTGGGGGTCCCCATTGTCCCCAAACCCATAGGACAGCGATGGGGACCCTCAGGATCCCCTTCATTGTTATGGGGTGGGGGTGGGACGCCAGAGGTCCACGTTGTCCCCAAAACCCATGGGATGGGGACAAGAGGGACAGCTGGGGTCCCCTTGATTCTTGGGTCTATGGGTGGGGGTGGGAGAGACCCCTGGGGTCCCCAAAACCTGTGGGATGGGGACAAGAGGGACAGCTGGGGTCCCTTTCATCCTTGGGTCTATGGGGTGGGGGTGGGAGAGACCCCTGGGGGTCCCCAAACCCCATGGGATTGGGGTGGAAGAGACCCCTGGGGGTCCCCAAAACCTGTGGGATGGGGACAAGAGGGACAGCTGGGGTCCCTTCATCCTTGGGTCTATGGGGTGGAGGTGGGAGAGACCCCTGGGGGTCCCCATTGTCCCCATAGGACAGCGATGGAGACCCTCAGGATCCCCTTCATTGCTATGGGGTGGGGGTGGGACGCCAGAGGTCCACGTTGTCCCCAAAACCCATGGGATGGGGACAAGAGGGACAGCTGGGGTCCCCTTCATCCTTGGGTCTATGGGGTGAGGGTGGGAGAGACCCCTGGGGGTCCCCAAACCTATAGGACAAGGATGGGGACAAGTGGGGACCCTTGGATGTCCCCTTCATCCTTATGGGATGGGAGGAACAACCAGGGGTCCCCTTCATCCTTGGGTCTATGGGGTGGGGGTGGGAGAGACCCCTGGGGTCCCCAAAACCTGTGGGATGGGGACAAGAGGGACAGCTGGGGTCCCCTTCATCCCTGGGTCTATGGGGTGGGGGTGGGAGAGACCCCTGGGGGTCCCCAAAACCTGTGGGATGGGGACAAGAGGGACAGCTGGGGTCCCCTTCATCCTTGGGTCTATGGGGTGAGGGTGGGAGAGACCCCTGGGGGTCCCCAAACCTATAGGACAAGGATGGGGACAAGTGGGGACCCTTGGATGTCCCCTTCATCCTTATGGGATGGGAGGGACAACCAGGGGTCCCCTTCATCCCTGGGTCTATGGGGTGGGGGTTGGAGAGATCCTTAGGGGTCCCCATTGTCCCCAAACCCATAGGACAGCGATGGGGACCCTCAGGATCCCCTTCATTGTTATGGGGTGGGGGTGGGACGCCAGAGGTCCACGTTGTCCCCAAAACCCATGGGATGGGGACAAGAGGGACAGCTGGGGTCCCCTTCATCCTTGGGTCTATGGGTGGGGGTGGGAGAGACCCCTGAGGTCCCCAAAACCTGTGGGATGGGGACAAGAGGGACAGCTGGGGTGCCCTTCATCCTTGGGTCTATGGGGTGGGGGTGGGAGAGACCCCTGGGGGTCCCCAAACCTATAGGACAAGGATGGGGACAAGTGGGGACCCTTGGATGTCCCCTTCATCCTTATGGGATGGGAGGGACAACCAGGGGTCCCCTTCATCCTTGGGTCTATGGGGTGGGGGTTGGAGAGACCCCTGGGGGTCCCCGTTGCCCCCAAAACCCAAGGGATGGGGACAAGAGGAACCCTTGGGGGTCCCCAAAGCCATAGGACAAGGAAGGGGACAACAGGGGACCCCTGGATGTCCCCATCATCGTTACGGGGTGGGGGAGGGACCCCCGTTGTCCCCACCTGTGCAGGAGGACTAAAAGCATCTGAGCCCAGCAACGCGGCTGCGCTGTGTTGTCACCTGGGGGTTGGGGGTGGCGAGGTGACACCCCGTGGCAGAGCTCCCTGGTGTCCCCAACGTCCCTACGATGTCCCCAGTGTCCCCAATGTTCCACTGTCCCCTCACAGTGTCCCCATGAGGTCCCCAGTGTCCCCATACTGATGTCCCCAACATCCCATGGCACAGCCACACGGTGTCCCCAACATCCCAATGTCCCCATGGCAGTGTCCCCAATGTCCCCATGGTGATGTCCCTAATGTCCCATGGCACAGCTTCATGATGTCCCCAACGTCCCTGTCATGTCCCCAGTGTCCCTATAATGACGTCCCCAAGGCGATGTCCCCAGTATCCCATGGCACAGCCTCACGTTGTCCCCAACACCCCCATGGTGGGGTCTCCAGTGTCCCCTCCCAGTGTCCCCATGGCCATGTCCCCATGGTGATGTCCCCAGTATCCCATGGCACAGCTTCATGATGTCCCCAATGTCCCTATGATGTTCCCAGTGTCCCCAATGTCCCCATAGTGATGTCCCCAATGTCCCATGGCACAGCTTCGCCTTGTCCCCAACATCCCCATGGTGACATCCCCAACATCCCAATGTCCCCTCACAGTGTCCCCATAGTGATGTCCCCAGTATCCCATGGCGCAGCTCCATGTTGTCCCAGTGTCCCCATTGTCCCTATGATGTTCCCAGTGTCCCCAGCATCCCTATGGTGACATTCCCGACGTCCCCATAGTGATGTCCCCAGTATCCCATGGCACAGCTTCGCCTTGTCCCCAACATTCCCATGATGATGTCCCCAATGTCCCCTCACAATGTCCCCAGTGTCCCATGGCACAGCTTCGTCTTGTCCCCAACATCCCCATGGTGACGTCCCCAACATCCCAGTGTCCCCTCACAGTGTCCCCATGGTGACGTCCCCAGTGTCCCATGGCACAGCTTCATGATGTCCCAATGTCCCTATGATGTTCCCAGTGTCCCCAGCATCCCTATGGTGACGTCCCCAATGTCCCCACAGTGATGTCCCCAGTATCCCAAGGCACAGCTTTGTCTTGTCCCCAACATCCCCATGGTGACGTCCCCAGTGTCCCCTCACAGTGTCCCCCTGTTGTCCCCAACGTCCCCATGCTGATGCCCCCACATCCCATGGCACAGCTGTGCAGCGTCCCCTACGTCCCTATCATCTCCCCATGGCGTTGTCCCCTGCGTCCCCATGGTGGTGTCCCCAATGTCCCCTCCCAGCGTCCCCACATGACGTCCCCAATGTCCCCAAGCCACCCTTTGGTGGCACCATCCACACATCGAGGCGGGACAAACAAGGCAGGGTGTGACGAGGGGACGGGACCTGGGTTCCCCACCCCAGACGTGGCTCCTGCCCCGCTCCCCCTCTGTCCCAGCACCGCGGTGTCACTCGCGGGTGGCATCGCTGTCACCTTTTTGTCCCCATTGCCACCCCCACCTTGGGGTGCTGCTTTCAGCCACCAAACACCCCAGGTGCCAAAAGAACCTTTATACCGACAGCGGGGCGCCACTTTGTCACCGTGGGTCCTGGTTGTCCCTTTGTCACCACGCCTCCCGGTGTCCCTTTGTCCCGGTGTCCCTTTGTCACCATCCCTCCTGCTGTCCTTTTGTCACCACTGCTCCAGCTGTCCTTTTTGTCACCACCTCTCCCGGTGTCCCTTTGTCCCTGTGTGTCCCTTTGTCACCATATGTCCTGGTTGTCCCTTTGTCACCACTTCTCCTTGCATCCCTTTGTCACCACACCTCCCGGTGTCCCTTTGTCCTGGTTGTCCTTTTGTCACCATTCCTCCTTGCGTCCCTTTGTCACCAGTCCTTCTGGTTGTCCATTTGTCACCACTGCTGCTGTCCCTTGGTCACCACACCTCTTGGTTGTCACTTTGTCACCATATGTCCTACTTGTCCCCACCACTCCTGCTGTCCCTTTGTCCTGGTTGTCCCTTTGTCACCAGTCCTCCTTGCATCACTTTGTCACCACTCCTGCTGTCCTTTTGTCACCTCATGTCCCAGCATCCCTTGGTCACCATTCCTGCCGTCCCTTTGTCCCTCTGCGTCCCTTTGTCACCACTCCTGCTGTCCTTTTGTCACCTCATGTCCCAGCATCCCTTGGTCACCATTCCTGCCATCCCTTTGTCCCTCTGTGTCCCTTTGTCACCACTCCTCTCGCTTGTTCCTTCATCACCACTCCTGCTGTCCCTTGGTCCTGGTTGTTCCTTTATCACCACATCTCCCGGTGTCCCTTTGTTACCAACACCTCCCGCCGTCCCTTGGCCGCCATTCCTGCCGTCCCTTTGTCCCTCTGCGTCCCTTTGTCACCACTCCTGCTGTCCCTTTGTCACCTCATGTCCTGCCGTCCCTTGGTCACCATTCCTGCCGTCCCTTTGTCCCAATTGTCCCTTTGTCACCACTCCTCTCAATTGTTCCTTCATCACCACTCCTGGTTGTTCCTTCATCACCACTCCTGGTGTCCCTTTGTCACCACATCTCCTGCTGTCCCTTGGTCACCTCATGTCCCAGCATCCCTTGGTCACCATTCCTGCCGTCCCGTTGTCCCTCTGTGTCCCTTTGTCACCACTCCTCTCGCTTGTTCCTTCATCACCACTCCTGCTGTCCCTTGGTCCTGGTTGTTCCTTCATCACCACTCCTGCTGTCCCTTTGTCCTGGTTGTTCCTTTATCACATCTCCTGGTGTCCCTTTGTCCCCTCATGTCCCGCCGTCCCTTGGCCGCCATTCCTGCCGTCCCTTTGTCCCTCTGTGTCCCTTTGTCACCACTCCTCTCATTTGTTCCTTCATCACCACTCCTGGTGTCCCTTGGTCACCACATCTCCTGCTGTCCCTTTGTCCTGGTTGTTCCTTCATCACCACTCCTGCTGTCCCTTGGTCACCACATCTCCTGCTGTCCCTTGGTCACCTCATGTCCCGCCGTCCCTTGGCCGCCATTCCTGCCGTCCCTTTGTCCCTCTGCGTCCCTTTGTCACCGCACCTCACAGCGCAAAGAAGTCGGACCCGCCGTGATGCTGCAGGCTGCAGCTCCACACCTCGTCCTCCCTGCCAGCGCTGCCCAGCATTCCCTGCAGCTCCTCCCGCAGCGCGGCCACGCAGCCCTCGCGGACGTCGCCGTCGCCGCTGTCGCAGCAATCCGTGGGGTAGGGGTGGACGACGAGGCGAAGGGAGGACAGGGCTCGGGTCCCCTCCAGCAGGACCTTCAGGCCGGCGGAGGACAAGCGGTTGCCAAAGAGGCCGAGGTAGGAGAGGCGGACGCAGAGCCTGAGAGGCGGCAGCAGGACGGGGAGGTGGCGGTCGCCGAGGTGACATTCGGCCGCGTCCAAATGGCGGAGGGAGGAGGAGACGGCAGGGAGGAGATGGAGGAAGGGAGGGAGGAGGGAGGAGGAGAGGTCGTGGCCGCTCAGGTCGAGCTTCTTCAGGGCCGGGGCGTGAGGGCTGCCGGCCAGGAAGGCGAGGTCGCAGGGCTGCAGGTGGCAGAAGGGAAGCTCCAGGCTCTCCAGCGGGCGCCGCAGGGACCTGGGGGGGGGATGAGGAGGAGCTGCGGGTCAAGGGATGTGACAGCTATGGAGCCCCGAGCAACGAAACCCCGAATCTCCCCAAATAAAAGCCATAACCCACATCTCCATGGGCAACTGGTTGAGTTGGGGTCATCCTCACCTTCACCAAAACCCCACAGGAGGGCAGATTTGTGGCGTCTATGGAGCCCCAAGCAACCAAAACCCCAAATCTCCCCAAAGAAAAGCCATAAGCTGAGTCTCCGTGGCCAGAGGGTTGAGTTGGGATCATCCCCACCTTCATCAAAACCACACAGAAGGACCAACTCCAAGCATCTACAGAACCCCGAGCACCAAAACCCCAAATCTCCCCAAATAAAACCCATAACCTCCATCTCCATGGCCAACTGGTTGAGTTGGGACCACTCATACCTTCACCAAAACCCATCACTCCATAACAAATCAACTGGTTGACTTGGGACCATCCTCACCTTCACCAAAACCCCCCAGGAGGGCAGATTTGTGGCATCTACGGAGCCCCAAGCACCAAAACCCCAAATCTCCCCAAATAAAACCCACAACCCACATCTCCATGGCCAACTGGTTGAGTTGGGACCGTTCCACCTTCGCCAAAACCAGTAACCAACCGACTGGTTGACTTGGGGTCATCCTCAACCTCACCAAAATCCCACAGGAGGGCAGATTTGTGGCGTCTATGGAGCCCCAAGCACCAAAGCCCCAAATCTCCCCTAATAAAACCCATAACCTGGGTCTCCGTGGCCAGCGGGTTGAGTTGGGATCATCCTCATCTTCACCAAAACCACACAGAAGGGCCAACTCATAACATCTACAGAACCCCAAGCACCAAAGCCCCAAATCTCCCCTAATAAAACCCATAACCCCCATCTCCATGGCCAACTGGTTGAGTTGGGATCATCCTCACCGTCACCAAAACCACACAGAAGGGCCAACTCCAAGCATCTACAGAACCCCAAGCACCAAAGCACCACATCTCCCCAAATAAAACCCACAACCCCCATCTCCATGGGCAACTGGTTGACTTGGGATCATCCTCACCTTCACCAAAACCCATCACTCCGTAACAGATCAACTGGTTGACTTGGGACCATCCCCACCATCAACCAAACCCCATAAGAGGGCAGATTTGTGTCGTCTATGGAGCCCCGAGCAACGAAACCCCGAATCTCCCCAAATAAAAGCCATAAGCTGAGTCTCCGTGGCCAGAGGGTTGAGTTGGGGTCATCCCCACCTTCACCAAAACCACACAGAAGGGCCAACTCCAAGCATCTACAGAACCCCAAGCACCAAATCCCCAAATCTCCCCAAATAAAAGCCATAACCCCCATCTCCATGGCCAACGGGTTGAGTTGGGATCATCCTCACCGTCACCAAAACCCATCACTCCGTAACAGATGAACTGGTTGACTTGGGACCATCTTCACCATCAACCAAACCCCATAGGAGGGCAGATTTGTGGCATCTACGGAGCCCCAAGCAACGAAACCCCAAATCTCCCCAAAGAAAACCCATAACCCACATCTTCATGGCCAACTGGTTGAGTTGGGATCATCCTCACCTTCACCAAAACCCCACAGAAGGGCCAACTCCAAGCATCTACAGAACCCCAAGCACCAAAACCCCAACTCTCCCTAAATAAAACCCACAACCCACATCTCCATGGCCAACTGGTTGAGTTGGGACCGTTCCACCTTCGCCAAAACCAGTAACCAACCGACTGGTTGACTTGGGGTCATCCTCAACCTCACCAAAATCCCACAGGAGGGCAGATTTGTGGCGTCTATGGAGCCCCAAGCACCAAAGCCCCAAATCTCCCCTAATAAAACCCATAACCTGGGTCTCCGTGGCCAGCAGGTTGAGTTGGGATCATCCTCATCTTCACCAAAACCACACAGAAGGGCCAACTCATAACATCTACAGAACCCCAAGCACCAAAGCTCCAAATCTCCCCAAATAAAACCCATAACCCACATCTCCATGGGCAACTGGTTGACTTGGGATCATCCTCACCTTCACCAAAACCCATCACTCCGTAACAGATGAACTGGTTGAGTAGGGACCATCCCCACCATCAACCAAACCCCATAAGAGGGCAGATTTGTGTCGTCTATGGATCCCCGAGCAACGAAACCCCAAATCTCCCCAAATAAAAGCCATAAGCTGCATCTCTGTGGCCAGAGGGTTGAGTTGGGGTCATCCCCACCTGCACCAAAACCACACAGAAGGGCCAACTCCAAGCATCTACAGAACCCCAAGCACCAAAACCCCAACTCTCCCCAAATAAAACCCACAACCCACATCTCCATGGCCAACTGGTTGACTTGGGATCATCCTCACCTTCACTAAAACCCATCACTCCGTAACAAATCAACTGGTTGACTTGGGACCATCCTCATCATCAACCAAACCCCACAGGAGGGCAGATTTGTGGCATCTATGGAGCCCCAAGCACCAAAGCCCCAAATCTCCCCAAATAAAACCCACAACCCGTGGTTCCATGGCCAACTGGTTGAGTTGGGACCATTCCCACCTTCACCAAAACCCATAACCAACCGACTGGTTGACTTGGGGTCATCCTCAACCTCACCAAAACCCCACAGGAGGGCAGATTTGTGGCGTCTATGGAGCCCCAAGCACCAAAGCCCCAAATCTCCCCTAATAAAACCCATAACCTGGGTCTCCGTGGCCAGCGGGTTGAGTTGGGATCATCCTCATCTTCACCAAAACCACACAGAAGGGCCAACTCATAACATCTACAGAACCCCAAGCACCAAAACCCCGAATCTCCCCAAATAAAACCCACAACCCATGGTTCCATGGCCAACTGGTTGACTTGGGATCATCCTCACCGTCACCAAAACCACACAGAAGGGCAGATTCTTGCCTACTATGGAATCCCATGCAATGAAATCCCAAATCTCCCCAAATAAAAGCCACAACCAGTGGTTCCATGCCTACAGGTTGAGTTGGGGTCATCCTCACCATCACCAAAACCCCACAGAAGGGCCAACTCCAAGCATCTACAGAACCCCAAGCACCAAAACCCCAACACTCCCTCAATAAAAGCCACAACCCACATCTCCATGGGCAACTGGTTGACTTGGGGTCATCCTCAACCTCACCAAAATCCCACAGGAGGGCAGATTTGTGTCATCTATGGAGCCCCAAGCACCAAAGCCCCAAATCTCCCCTAATAAAACCCATAACCTGGGTCTCCGTGGCCAGCGGGTTGAGTTGGGATCATCCTCATCTTCACCAAAACCACACAGAAGGGCCAACTCATAACATCTACAGAACCCCAAGCACCAAAGCTCCAAATCTCCCCAAATAAAACCCATAACCCACATCTCCATGGGCAACTGGTTGACTTGGGATCATCCTCACCTTCACCAAAACCCATCACTCCGTAACAGATGAACTGGTTGAGTAGGGACCATCCTCATCATCAACCAAACCCCATAAGAGGGCAGATTTGTGTCGTCTATGGAGCCCCGAGCAACGAAACCCCAAATCTCCCCAAATAAAAGCCATAAGCTGAGTCTCCGTGGCCAGAGGGTTGAGTTGGGGTCATCCCCACCTGCACCAAAACCACACAGAAGGGCCAACTCATAACATCTACAGAACCCCAAGCACCAAAGCCCCAAATCTCCCCAAATAAAACCCACAACCCACATCTCCATGGCCAACTGGTTGAGTTGGGATCATCCTCACCTTCACCAAAACCACACAGAAGGGCCAACTCCAAGCATCTACAGAACCCCAAGCACCAAGACCCGAACTCTCCCCAAATAAAACCCACAACCCACATCTCCATGGGCAACTGGTTGAGTTGGGACCACTCATACCTTCACCAAAACCCATAACCAACCAACTGGTTGACTTGGGGTCATCCTCAACCTCACCAAAATCCCACAGGAGGGCAGATTTGTGTCATCTATGGAACCCCAAGCACCAAAGCCCCAAATCTCCCCTAATAAAACCCATAACCTGGGTCTCCGTGGCCAGCGGGTTGAGTTGGGATCATCCTCACCTTCACCAAAACCACACAGAAGGGCCAACTCATAACATCTACAGAACCCCAAGCACCAAAACCCCAAATCACCCCCCGAAATGAGAATCACAAAGCATTGCTCACCCCAGCAGCAGCCCCAGCCGCCCCGCCAGCCGGCACGAGCCCAGGTTGAGCTCCCTCAGCCCGTGCAACGAACCCAACGCTTCCGCCAGCTCCTTCAGCCCATCTTCCATCCCAGGCCTCCTCACGTCCACGTTGCTGTAGGGCAACCTCAAGCTGGCCAGGTGTGGGAAGCGAGCGAGACGCGGCACCACCTGGCACAGCCCGGCCAACCCCAGGTTGTTGAAGCGCAGCTCGACGCGCCGCAAGCCGAGCGGCTCCAAGGCCTCCAACAGATCCAAGGTGCCTCCTAGGGAAAGCTCCTCGGCGTGGAAGTCACGGCAGCGCAGGCGTAGGGCCCCTCCGCCCCGTAGGGCCGCCCTCAGGATGGCCCCCGAGGTGCTGTTGACAAAGAGGTCGACGCGGATTTCCACCGCGGGCACCGGGGAACCCTTCTGATCTTTGGTGCCACGCGGTTCGGTTCGGCGTTGAGAGGCTTCCAGGCAGGCTTTGGCCAGCAGTACTGTCCTCGACCACAGGGTGACGCTGTCCGGACCGTGTTCCGCACCGTCCTGGATGCCGGTCATGTCCAACACACGCAGACATGGCCGCGGGCTGAGGGAGGAGAAAGGTGCCAGCATTTCTTCCACCCGTCTCACCCGACCCCCCTTCCTTCTGATTGACCCAAACCTTCTCCTTCCATCTGTCCCACCCATATCTGTCCCACCCAACCATCCTTCCTTCTGCCATCCAACCCAACCCCCCTGTTCCATCCATCCAATCCAAACCCATCCAACCCATCCCTTCCTTCTGATTGACCCAAACCTTCTCTTTCCCTCTGTCCCATCCATATCTGTCCAACCCCACCATCCTTCCTTCTGTCCATCCAACCCAATCCCCCTGTTCCATCCATCCAATCCAAACCCATCCAACTCAACCCCCCCTTCCATCCATCCAACTCACATCTGTCCATCACAACCATCCTTCTGTCCATCCAACCCAACCCCCCTGTTCCATCCATCCAATCCAAACCCATCCAACCCAACCCATCCCTCCTTCCTTCTGAATGACCCAAACCTTCTCCTTCCCTCTGTCCCACCCATATCTGTCCAACCCAGCCCTCTCTCCTTCCGTCCATCCGACCCAACCCCCCTGTTCCATCCCTCCAATCCAAACCCATCCAACCCAACCCTCCTTCCTTCTGATTGACCCAAGCCTCCTCCTTCCATCCATCCACCTCATATTTGTCGTACCCAACCATCCTTCCTTCTGTCCATCCAATCCAACCCAACCCCCCTTCCATCCATCCAACTCACATCTGTCCATCACAACCTTCTTTCCGTCCATCCAACCCAACCCCCCTGTTCCATCCATCCAATCCAAACCCATCCAACCCAACCCTCCTTCCTTCTGATTGACCCAAACCTTCTCCTTCCCTCTGTCCCACCCATATCTGTCCAACCCAGCCCTCTCTCCTTCTGCCCATCCAACCCAACCCCCCTGTTCCACCCATCCAATCCAAACCCATCCAACCCATCCCTTCCTTCTGATTGACCCAAACCTTCTCCTTCCACCCATCCAACCCACATCTCTCCATCACAACCCTCCTTCCTTCAGTCTTTCTGACCAAACCCCCCTACCACAAACACACCGGGTGACGACCGCGGCTGATCTGGTGACAACGACCGCAGCCGACCCTACAACAACCACAGCTGATCTGGTGACGACCACAACCGATCCTACAACCACGGCCAATCCAATGACCACAACCACAACCATCCCACAACAACCGCGCCTGATTTCATGGCCACCACGACCAGCCCTACAACCACAGCTGAGCCAATGGCAACCACCACAACCATCCCACAGCTGATCTGGTACAACCACAACCCATCCTACAACCACAGCCGACCCAATGATGACCACAACCAACCCTGCAACAACCAGAATCAATCCCACAACCACAGCTGACCCAGTGTCAACAACCACGACCAATCCCACAACCATCCCACAACCGAGCTGGTGACAACCACGACCAGTCCTACAACCACAACCAACCCAACGATGATTACAACCAACCCAGTGACAACCACAACCAACCCAACCATGATTACAACCAACCAGTGACAACCACAACCAACCCAACCATGATTACAACCAACCAGTGACAACCACAACCAACCCAACCATGATTACAACCAACCAGTGACAACCACAACCAACCCAACCATGATTACAACCAACCAGTGACAACCACAACCAACCCAACGATGATTACAACCAACCAGTGACAACCACAACCAACCCCACAACCACAGCTGAGCCAATGACAACAACCACAACTGAATCCTACGACAACCACAACCGAGCTGGTGACCACCACAACCCATCCTACAACCACAGCCGACCCAACAATGACCACAACCGATCCTAAAACAACCACAACTGATCTGGTGATGACTACAACTGATCCCACAACCACAGCTGAGCCAATGACAACAATCATGACCAATCCTAGGACACCCACAACTGATCTGGTGACGGCCATGACCAATGCCACCACCACAGCCAATGCAACGACAATCACAACCAATCCAATGACGACCAGAAACAATCCTACAACCACACCTGAACCAGTGACAACAACCACAACTGATCCTACGACAACCACAACCGATCTGGTACAACCACAACCCATCCTACAACCACAGCCGACCCCACGATGACCACAACCAACCCTGCAACAACCAGAATCAATCCCACAACCACAGCTGACCCAGTGTCAACAACCACGACCAATCCCACAACCATCCCACAACCGAGCTGGTGACAACCACGACCAGTCCTACAACCACAACCAACCCAACGATGATTACAACCGATCCCACAACCACAGCTGAGCCAATGACAACAACCACAACTGATCCTACGACAACCACAACCGAGCTGGTGACCAATCCTTCAACAACCACACCTGATCCGGTGGCAACCACAACCAAGGCCGACCCAACGATGCCCACAACCAATCCTACAACCACAGCTGAGCCAATGACAACCACCGCAACCAATCCCACAACCATCCCACAACTGATCTGGTGACAACCGTGACAAATCCTACAACCACGGCCGACCCAACCATGACCACAACCAACCCAATGAGAACCACAACCAATCCTACAACCACAGCTGACCCAACGATGCCCACAACTGATCCTATGACAACCACACCTGATCTGGTCACGACCAATCCCACAACCACAACCAACCCAACGATGATTACAACCCACCAATGACAACCACAACCAACCCCACAACTACAGCTGAGCCAATGACAACAACCACAACTGATCCTACGACAACCACAACCGAGCTGGTGACCACCACAACCCATCCAACAACCACAGCCGACCCAACGATGCCCACAACCGATCCTAAAGCAACCACAACTGATCTGGTGATGACTACAACTGATCCCACAACCACAGCTGAGCCAATGACAACAACCACAACTGATCCTATGACAACCACAACCGATCTGGTGACCAATCCTTCAACAACCACAGCCAAGGCCGACCCAACGATGCCCACAACCAATCCTACAACTACAGCTGAGCCAATGACAACCACCACAACCAATCCCACAACCGATCTGGTGACAACCACGACCAGTCCCACAACCACAACCAACCCAACAACGACCACAATCGATCTGGTGACGACCACGACCATTCCTACAACCACAACCAACCCAATGATGACCACACCTGACCTGGTGATGATCACAACCGATCCTACAACCACAGCCGACCCAATAACAACCACCACAACCATCCCACAACAACCACACCTGACCTGGTGACGACCACGACCCATCCTATGACAGCCACCACTGATTTGATGACGCCCACAACCAATCTTATGACAACCAAACCTGATCTGGTGACGACCACAACCGATCCCACAACCACAACCAACCCAACGATGATCACAACCAACCCCACAACCACAGCTGAGCCAATGACAACAACCACAACTGATCCTACGACAACCACAACCGAGCTGGTGACCAATCCTTCAACAACCACAGCCAAGGCCGACCCAACGATGCCCACAACCAATCCTAAAACAACCACAACTGATCTGGTGATGACTACAACTGATCCCACAACCACAGCTGAGCCAATGACAACAATCATGACCAATCCTAGGACACCCACAACTGATCTGGTGACGGCCATGACCAATGCCACCACCACAGCCAATGCAACGACAATCACAATCAATCCAATGACGACCAGAAACAATCCTACAACCACACCTGAACCAGTGACAACAACCACAACTGATCCTACGACAACCACAACCGATCTGGTACAACCACAACCCATCCTACAACCACAGCCGACCCAACGATGACCACAACCAACCCTGCAACAACCAGAATCAATCCCACAACCACAGCTGACCCAGTGTCAACAACCACGACCAATCCCACAACCATCCCACAACCGAGCTGGTGACAACCATGACCAGTCCTACAACCACAACCAACCCAACGATGATTACAACCAACCAGTGACAACCACAACCAACCCAACAATGATTACAACCAACCAGTGACAACCACAACCAACCCAACGATGATTACAACCAACCAGTGACAACCACAACCAACCCAACCATGATTACAACCAACCAGTGACAACCACAACCAACCCAACCATGATTACAACCAACCAGTGACAACCACAACCGATCCCATAACCACAGCTGAGCCAATGACAACAACCACAACTGATCCTACGACAACCACAACCGAGCTGGTGACCACCACAACCCATCCTACAACCACAGCCGACCCAACGATGCCCACAACCGATCCTAAAACAACCACAACTGATCTGGTGATGACTACAACTGATCCCACAACCACAGCTGAGCCAATGACAACAATCATGACCAATCCTAGGACACCCACAACTGATCTGGTGACGGCCATGACCAATGCCACCACCACAGCCAATGCAACGACAATCACAACCAATCCAATGACGACCAGAAACAATCCTACAACCACAGCTGAACCAGTGACAACAACCACAACTGATCCTACGACAACCACAACCGATCTGGTACAACCACAACCCATCCTACAACCACAGCCAACTCAACGATGACCACAACCAACCCTGCAACAACCAGAATCAATCCCACAACCACAGCTGACCCAGTGTCAACAACCACGACCAATCCCACAACCATCCCACAACCGAGCTGGTGACAACCACGACCAGTCCTACAACCACAACCAACCCAACCATGATTACAACCAACCAGTGACAACCACAACCAACCCAACCATGATTACAACCAACCAGTGACAACCACAACCAACCCAACCATGATTACAACCAACCAGTGACAACCACAACCAACCCAACCATGATCACAACCGATCCCACAACCACAGCTGAGCCAATGACAACAACCACAACTGATCCTACGACAACCACAACCGAGCTGGTGACCAATCCTTCAACAACCACACCTGATCCGGTGGCAACCACAGCCAAGGCCAACCCAACGATGCCCACAACCGATCCTACAACCACAGCTGAGCCAATGACAACCACCACAACCAATCCCACAACCATCCCACAACTGATCTGGTGACAACCGTGACAAATCCTACAACCACGGCCGACCCAACCATGACCACAACCAACCCAATGACAACCACAACCAATCCTACAACCACAGCTGACCCAACGATGCCCACAACTGATCCTATGACAACTACACCTGATCTGGTCACGACCAATCCCACAACCACAACCAACCCAACGATGATTACAACCAACCAGTGACAACCACAACCGATCCCACAACCACAGCTGAGCCAATGACAACAACCACAACTGATCCTACGACAACCACAACCAAGCTGGTGACCAATCCTTCAACAACCACACCTGATCCGGTGGCAACCACAACCAAGGCCGACCCAACGATGCCCACAACCAATCCTACAACCGATCTGGTGACAACCACGACCAGTCCCACAACCACAACCAACCCAACAACGACCACAACCGATCTGGTGACAACCACGACCAGTCCTACAACCACAACCAACCCAACGATGATCACAACCGATCCCACAACCACAGCCGACCCAATAACAACCACCACAACCATCCCACAATCGATCTGGTGACAACCACAACCAATCCTACAACCACAACCAACCCAATGATGACCACACCTGACCTGGTGACGACCACAACCCATCCTATGACGACGACGACCAACCCAACATCGACCAACAACCGATTTGGCGACAACCGCAGCCGATCCAACGACCCCCATCCCCCTACGCCCTGCAAACCCATCAGCACCACACGTCACCCCGCAACCAGGCACAACCACCACCCAACAACAACAAAACCACCCCCCCCCCCCAGAAAAGAAAAACCAACAAACCCCCCACCCTCCCAACGATCCCAAGTCGGTCACCTACCCGGCGTCGGACCGCAGCCCCGCGGTGACGGCCAGGAGAACAGCCTGGACGCAGAGCTGGTCGGGGTGGCGATGGGGGTCGCAGCGTAGGGAGAGGATTGGGAAAGGCCAGGACCTCACCAGGTCCTGCAGGAGGGGAACGCGGCAGTCCAGGAGGGCGGCCTGGAGCAGAGCGGGGTACAATTCGGCGGGGAGCAGCGGCAGAGAGCGGCGGGCGCTGGGGAGGTGGGCGACCAGGCGGCGGGCGCAGAGCGAGACCAGGGAGGAGGTGGTGGGGGTGGTCATGGCGGTGGTGGGGCACCGGCGGGGATGTGGGGCGGCTGTGGGGCTGGGGAAAGGGATAAAAATGGGGTCACAGGGATGGATAACGGTGGAGCCGGCGCTCTGAGTGCTCTACAGAGGGTGAACCGGGGCTCCCTCTCACGCTGAGCCCCCCACGCCGAGCCCCAAATCTGATTCCGGCCTTAAAATGGCTCCTCCATGGCACCCCGACATCCCCGCACTGATCCCCAGAGGGAGACCCCCACGCTGACCCCAACCCTGGATCCCCCATAATGGGTTCTTCATGCCACCCCCAACCCTGAGACCCCCACAGACCCCCAAATCTGACCGTCCCCCATTATGGGTCCTTCGTGGCATCTTAGAGGTGCCATGGGGAACCCATTATGGGGGGTGGGGGGTCAGATTTGGGGGTCTGTGGGGATCTTAGGGTTGGGGGGTGGCATAGGGAAGCCATTATGGGGGGGGGGGTCAGGGTTGGGATCAGCGTGGGGGTCTCATTCTGGGGGTCATATGGGGGTCTCTCCTGGACATGGCACCTGACCATCCCCCATTATGGGTCCCCCAATCCTAAGACCCCCAGAATGAGACCCCCACGCTGACCCCAACCCTGGATCCCCCATAATGGGTTTTCCATGCCACCCCCAACCCTGAGACCCCCACAGACCCCATAATGGGTTCTTCATGGCACCCCCCCCAACCCTGAGACCCCCACAGACCCCCAAATCTGACCACATAATGGGTTCTTCATGGCATCTTAGAGGTGCCATGGGGAACCCATTATGGGGGGAGGGGGGTCAGATTTGGGGGTCTGTGGGGATCTTAGGGTTGGGGGGTGGCATGGGGAAGCCATTATGGGGGGGGTCAGGGTTGGGATCAGCGTGGGGGTCTCATTCTGGGGGTCTTAGGGTTGGGGGACCCATAATGGGGGATGGTCAGGTGCCATGTCCAGGAGAGACCCCCATATGACCCCCAGAATGAGACCCCCACGCTGACCCCAACCCTGGATCCCCCATAATGGGTTTTCCATGCCACCCCCAACTCTGAGACCCCCACAGACCCCCAAATCTGACCGTCCCCCATTATGGGTCCTTCGTGGCATCTTAGAGGTGCCATGGGGAACCCATTATGGGGGGTTGGGGGGGGGGTTCAGATTTGGGGGACTGTGGGGATCTTAGGGTTGGGGGGTGGCATAGGGAAGCCATTATGGGGGGGGTCAGGGTTGGGGTCAGCGTGGGGGTCTCATTCTGGGGGTCATATGGGGGTCTCTCCTGGACATGGCACCTGACCATCCCCCATTATGGGTTCTCCATGGGACCCCCAACCCTGAGACCCCCACACCGACCCCCAACCCTGGACCCCCCATAATGGGTTTTCCATGCCACCCCCAACCCTGAGACCCCACAGACCCCCAAATCTGACCGTCCCCCATTATGGGTCCTTCGTGGCATCTTAGAGGTGCCATGGGGAACCCATTATGGGGGGTGGGGGGTCAGATTTGGGGGTCTGTGGGGAGCTTAGGGTTGGGGGGTGGCATAGGGAAGGCATTATGGGGTGGGGGTCAGGGTTGGGATCAGCGTGGGGGTCTCGTTCTGGGGGTCATATGGGGGTCTCTCCTGGACATGGCACCTGACCATCCCCCATTATGGGTCCCCCAACCTTAAGACCCCCAGAATGAGACCCCCACGCTGACCCCAACCCTGGACCACCCATAATGGGTTTTCCATGCCACCCCCCAACCCTGAGACCCCCCCCCACAGACCCCCAAATCTGACCGTCCCCCATTATGGGTCCTTCGTGGCATCTTAGAGGTGCCATGGGGAACCCATTATGGGGGGTGGGGGGTCAGATTTGGGGGTCTGTGGGGATCTTAGGGTTGGGGGGTGGCATAGGGAAGGCATTATGGGGGGGGTCAGGGTTGGGATCAGCGTGGGGGTCTCGTTCTGGGGGTCATATGGGGGTCTCTCCTGGACATGGCACCTGACCATCCCCCATTATGGGTCCCCCAACCCTAAGACCCTCAGAATGAGACCCCCACACCGACCCCAACGCTGGATCCCCCATAATGGGTTCCCCATCTCAGCCCCCAACCCTAAGATCCCCACAGACCCTCAAATCTGACCCCATAATGGGTTCTTCATGGCACCCCCCCCAACCCTGAGACCCCACAGACCCCCAAATCTGACCGTCCCCCATTATGGGTCCTTCGTGGCATCTTAGAGGTGCCATGGGGAACCCATTATGGGGGGAGGGGGGTCAGATTTGGGGGTCTGTGGGGATCTTAGGGTTGGGGGGTGGCATAGGGAAGGCATTATGGGGGGGGTCAGGGTTGGGATCAGCGTGGGGGTCTCATTCTGGGGGTCATATGGGGGTCTCTCCTGGACATGGCACCTGACCATCCCCCATTATGGGTCCCCCAACCCTAAGACCCCCAGAATGAGACCCCCACGCTGACCCCAACCCTGGACCCCCCATAATGGGTTTTCCATGCCACCCCCAACCCTGAGACCCCCACAGACCCCCAAATCTGACCACATAATGGGTTCTTCATGGCACCCCCCCCAACCCTGAGACCCCCACAGACCCCCAAATCTGACCATCCCCCATTATGGGTCCCCCAACCTTAAGACCCCCAGAATGAGACCCCCACGCTGACCCCAACCCTGGATCCCCCATAATGGGTTTTCCATGCCACCCCCAACTCTGAGACCCCCACAGACCCCCAAATCTGACCGTCCCCCATTATGGGTCCTTCGTGGCATCTTAGAGGTGCCATGGGGAACCCATTATGGGGGGTGGGGTGGGTCAGATTTGGGGGTCTGTGGGGATCTTAGGGTTGGAGGGTGGCATAGGGAAGGCATTATGGGGTGGGGGTCAGGGTTGGGATCAGCGTGGGGGTCTCGTTCTGGGGGTCATATGGGGGTCTCTCCTGGACATGGCACCTGACCATCCCCCATTATGGGTCCCCCAACCCTGAGACCCCCAGAATGAGACCCCCACGCTGACCCCAACTCTGGATCCCCCATAATGGGTTTTCCATGCCACCCCCAACCCTAAGATCCCCACAGACCCCCAAATCTCACCACCCCCCCATTATGGGTTCTCCATGGCACCCCACAAACCTGAGACTCCCCCCACACTGACCCCCAACCCTGGACCCCCCCATAATTGCTTCCCCATGCCAACCACCAACCCTAAGATCCCCACAGACCCCCAAATCTGATACCCCCCCCCATAATGGCTTCCCCATGGCACCCCCAACCCTGAGACCCCCCCACACCAACCCCCAACCCTGGACCCCCCAAAAATGGCTTCCCCATGCCACCCCCCAACCCTAAGATCCCCACAGACCCCCAAATCTGATGCCCCCCAATATGGGTTCTCCCTGGCACCCCCCAACCCTGAGACCCCCCCCACACTGTCCCCCAACTCTGGACCCCCCATAATGGGTTCCCCACAGCACCTCTAACCCTGAGACCCCCCCACACACCGACCCCCAACCCTGACCACCCCCCCACAATGGCTTCCCCATGGCACCCCCAACCCTGAGACCCCCCCACATCGACCCCCAACCCTGACATACCCCCATAACGGCTTCCCTATGCCTCCCCCAACCCTGAGACCCCCATATTACCCCAGAATGAGACTCCCACAATGTCCCAAAGACCCACATAAAGCACCAGAACCCCCAAAAGGATCTGCCCCATAGAGCCCCATCATCCCCACTGACCCCATAACTCCTATAGAGCCCCATAACCCACTTAGGACCCCCATAGAGCCCCAAAACCCCCATAGGGCCCCCCATAGGGCCTCATAATCCACACAGGACCCCTCATAGACCCTCATAGAGTCCCATAACCCAATCAGGTCCCCATAGAGGCCCAAAACCCCCATGGAACCCAAAACCCCATAGAGCCCCACAGAGCCCCATAGAGCCCCATAGAGCCCCATAGAGCCCCATAGAGCCCCATAGAGCCCCATAGAGCCCCACAGTCACCCATAACCCACTTAGGACCCCCATAGAGCCCCAAAACCCACACAGGACCCCTCACAGAGCCTCAGAATCCCCACAGGACCCCCCATAGACCCCATAACCCACTCAGGTCCCCCATAGATGCCCAAAACCCCATGGAACCCCACATAGAGCCCCATTAATCCCCACAGACCCCCCCATAGAGCCCCATGACCCACTTGGGACCTCCATAGAGCCCCCAAACCCCCCATAGGACCCCCCATAGGGCCTCATAATCCACACAGGACCCCTCATAGACCCTCGTAGAGTCCCATAACCCAATCAGGTCCCCATAGAGGCCCAAAACCCCCATGGAACCCCACATAGAGCCCCATAGAGCCCCATAATCCCCACAGTCGCCCATAACCCACTTAGGACCCCATAGTGCCCCAAAACCCCCATAGGGCCCCCCATAGGGCCTCATAATCCACACAGGACCCCTCATAGACCCTCGTAGAGTCCCATAACCCACTCAGGTCCCCATAGAGGCCCAAAACCCCCATGGAACCCCACATAGAGCCCCATAGAGCCCCATAATCCCCACAGTCGCCCATAACCCACTTAGGACTCCCATAGAGCCCCCAAACCCCCATAGGACCCCCCCACAGAGCCTCATAATCCCCACAGGACCCCCCATAGACTCCCATAACCCACTTGGGACCCCCACAGAACCCCACATAGAGCTCCATAGAACCCCATAATCCCCACAGATCACCATAACCCCCATAGAGCCCCATGACCCACTTGGGACCTCCATAGAGCCCCCAAACCCCCATAGGACCCCCCATAGGGCCTCATAATCCCTACAGAACCCCCATAGACCCTCATAGAGTCCCGTAACCCACTCAGGTCCCCATAGAGGCCCAAAACCCCCATGGAACCCAAAACCCCATAGAGCCCCATAGAGCCCCATAGAGCCCCATAGAGCCCCATAGAGCCCCATAGAGCCCCATAGAGCCCCATAGAGCCCCATAGAGCCCCATAGAGCATCCAAACCCCCATAGGACCCCCCATATGAGCCCCCCCATATGACCCCCCATAGAGCCCCATAATCCCCACAGACCCCATAACCCACTTAGGACCCCCATAGAGCATCCAAACCCCCCATAGGACCCCCCATATGACCCCCCATAGAGCCTCAGAATCCCCACGGGACCCCCCACAGACTCCCATAGAGCCTCATAACCCCTTAGGACCCCCACAGAGCCCCAAAACCTCCATAGGACCCCACATAGGATCCCCCACAGAGCCTCATAATCCCCACAGGACCCCCCATAGACTCCCATGACCCACTTGGGACCCCACAGAACCCCACATAGAGCTCCATAGAACCCCATAATCCCCACAGACCACCATAACCCCCATAGAGCCCCATAACCCACTTAGGACCCCCATAGAGCCCCAAAACCCACACAGGACCCCTCACAGAGCCTCAGAATCCCCACAGGACCCCCCATAGACCCCATAACCCACTCAGGTCCCCCATAGATGCCCAAAACCCCATGGAACCCCACATAGAGCCCCATTAATCCCCACAGACCCACCCATAGAGCCCCATGACCCACTTGGGACCTCCATAGAGCCCCAAAACCCCCACAGGACCCCCCATAGGGCCTCATAATCCACACAGGACCCCTCATAGACCCTCGTAGAGTCCCATAACCCACTCAGGTCCCCATAGAGGCCCAAAACCCCCATGGGACCCCACATAGAGCCCCATAGAGACCCATAATCCCCACAGTCGCCCATAACCCACTTAGGACCTCCATAGAGCCCCCAAACCCCCATAGGACCCCCCATAGGGCCTCATAATCCACACAGGACCCCTCATAGAGTCCCGTAACCCACTCAGGTCCCCATAGAGCCCCATAGAGCCCCATAGAGCCCCATAGAGCCCCATAGAGCCCCACAGACCCCATAATCCCCACAGTCACCCATAACCCACTTAGGACTCCCATAGAGCCCCCAAACCCCCATAGGACCCCCCACAGAGCCTCAGAATCCCCACAGGACCCCCCATAGACTCCCATAACCCACTTGAGACCCCCATAGAACCCCACATAGAGCTCCATAGAACCCCATAATCCCCACAGACCACCATAACCCCCATAGAGCCCCAAAACCCACACAGGACCCCTCACAGAGCCTCAGAATCCCCACAGGACCCCCCATAGACCCCATAACCCACTCAGGTCCCCCATAGATGCCCAAAACCCCATGGAACCCCACATAGAGCCCCATTAATCCCCACAGACCCCCATAGAGCCCCAAAACCCCCATAGGACCCCCTATAGAGCCTCATAATCCATACAGAACTCCCATAGACCCCCATAGAGCCCCATAACCGTTCACTTAGGACCCCCATAGAAGCCCAAAAACCCCCGCAGTATCCCCCATAGAACCCCATAACTCCCCTCAGGACCCACACACAGCCCCACAATCCCCACAGGACCCCACAGACCCCCACAGGACCCCCCAAGAGCCCCATAACCCCCACAGAGCCCTATAGAACCCCATAACCTCCTCAGGACCCCCCAAAGACCCCCATAACACCCCATAGAATCCCATAGAGCCCCATAATCCCCACAGGACCCCTCATAGAGCCCCATAATCCCCACAGGACCCCCCATAGAGCCCCACACAGCCCCATAATCCCCCCAGGACCCTCATAGACCCCCCCCAAGGACCCCCATAGAACCCCTCCCCCCCCCAGCTCCTCTCACCGCTCCTCAGCGCCGCCGCCGCCCCGTTCCCTCCTCACTTCCGCCTCTGCGCACTGACTCCCCGCTCTCCTCCAATCAGAGGAGACGAGAGGCGGGATTGCGCTCTTTCTACTCTTCTCATTGGTTTAGCCTACCGCCCGTCTCCTTTCCGGCGTTTCTATTGGTGGAGAGAAAGGAGAGCGGGAAGTTCGCGGCGGATCGTAGCGCTGAGGGAAAGGAATGGGAACGGAGGAAGCGGAGCGGTTCTGAGGGTCCGAATCGAAGCGGAACGGAACCGAATCTGAACCCATGGAGCGGCTGTGCGAACTGCGGGCGATGCTGAAGGGCTGGGAGGTGGTTTTCGAACGGGAGAACGGCCGGAGACCGGGAAAGGTGAGGGGGGAACGGGGGGGGGGGGTCTGAGGGGCCTCACAGGGCCTCTGGGGGGGGGGGGGGGGTCTCACAGGGCCTCTGGGGGGGTTCTGCCCCAAACGGGCTTTTTTGGGTGATGTTTGGGGTATTTCTGCCTCGAAATGACATCGTTTTGTGATCTTTGGGGTATTTCTGCCCCGAAATAGGCTGTTCATGGTGCTTTCTGGGGTCTTTCTGCCCTAAGATGGCCTTTATTGGTGCTTATGGGGTCTTTCTGCCCCCAAAATGGACTTTTTTGCTGCTTTTGGGGTTTTTCTGTGCAAAATTGGCCTTTTTTGGTGATTTTGGATTATTTCTGCCTCCAAGATGGCCTTTCTTGGTGCTTTTTGGGGTCTTTCTGCCCCCAGATGGCCTTTATTGATGCTTATGGGGTGTTTCTGCCCCCAAAATGGCTTTTTTGGTGCTTTTTGGGATATTTTTGCCCCAGAATTGCCTTTTTTTGTTCTTCTGGGGTATTTCTAATCCCAAAATGGGCATTTTTTTTGCTTTTTGGGGTGTTTCTGTCCCAGAAGGGTCTCTTCAAAGGCAGATGTACTCTAAAAGTGCCACATTTGAGGCTGTTATGCCCCCAAAATTGGCTTTTTTGGTGTTTTTTGTGGTATGTCTGCCCCAAATGGGTCTTTTTTGGTGCTTTTTGAGGTCTTTCTGCCCCCACATGGCCTTTATTGATGCTTATGGGGTCTTTCTGCCCCTAAAATGGCCTTTATTGATGCTTATGGGGTCTTTCTGCCCCCAAAAAGGCCTTTTTTGGTGCTTTTTGGGATATTTTTGCCCCAGAATTGCCTTTTTTTGTTCTTCTGGGGTATTTCTAATCCCCAAATGGGCATTTTTGGTGCTTGTTGGGTGTTTCTGTCCTAGAAGGGTCTCTTCAAAGGCAGATGTACCCTAAAAGTGCCACATTTGAGGCTGTTATGCCCCAAAATTGGCTTTTTTTGGGTGCTTTTTGGGGTATTTCTATCCCAAAATGGCCTTTTCTGGTGCTTTTTGGGGTCTTTCTGCCCCGAGATGGCTATTAATGGTGCTTTTGGGGTATTTCTGACCCCAGGTGGGTCTTTTTGGGTGATTTTGGAGTATTTCTACCCCTAAAATGGCCTTTTTTGCTGCTTTTGGGGTTTTTCTATGCTAAATTGGCCTTTTTTGGTGATTGCTGGGATCTTTCTGCCCCCAAGATGGCCTTTTTTGCTGCTTATGGGGTATTTTTGTGCCAAAAGGGCTTCTTCAGGGACAGATGTACCCCAAAAGTGCCTTTTTTGGGGCTGTTCTGCCCCTAAAAGAGCCTTTTTTGGTGCTTTTTGGGGTATTTCTGCCTCAAAATGGCCTTTCTGAGGGCATTTCTGTCCCCTCAGGGCCCCTTTGGGGGCGTTTTGCTCAAAATATGGCCTTTATTGGTGCTTTTTGGCCTCTTTCTGCCCCCAGAGCTTCTCTTTAAGTGCAGATGTACCCCAAAAGTGCCTCTTTGGGGCCTGTTTTGCTCCCAAAAAGCCTTTTCTGGTGCTTGTGGGTGGGTTTCTATCCCTAAATTCCTTGCTTTCCATCCTAAAAGTGCCTCGTTTGGTGCCTCTCAGGGCATTTCCACCCCCAAAATGTCCTTTTTTGTGCTTTTGGGGGGCGTTTCTGCCCCATAAGTGCCTCTTCTGGCACCTTCCTGCCCCAGATTGGCCTTTCTTGGTGGTTTTTTGTGGCTGTTGTGCCATTTTTTCTGCAGTCCCCACCCCCAAAATCGCCTCTTTTTCTGCCTTTCCACCCAAACGAACGCTCTGCTCTGTTTCCCCTCGCAGGCCGACGTGGCGGCGGCTTCAGAGGACACCAAACGTGAGCGTGGCGCTGCGGGGCCTCCTTATCCCTCATTCCCCTTAATTAATTACCTCCTAATCACCCAAATTAATTACCACGGCCCTGCCTTGCTCCTCTCGCAGGGCTGTACCGGGAGTACCGGGAGCTGAAGCAGCGCTCGGAGCTCACAGAGCAGAGCCCTGCGGCACAGCAGGTACCAACGCTGAGGGCTCACAAGGGGAAGGGCCGTCCCTGTGGCTACCTGCAGCCAGATCCTGCTGGCCCACCGCCCCCCCATGATGGCCCAAGGCCCCCCCTTGATGGCCCAAGGCCCCCCCTTGATGGCCCAAGGCCCCCCCTTGATGCCCAAGGCCCCCCCTTGATGGCCCACGGCTCCGTTTGGTGGCCCAAGCCCCCCCCCCTTGGTGGCCCAAGCCCCCCCCCCCTTGGTGGCCCAAGCCCCCCCCCCTTGGTGGCCCAAGCCCCCCCCCCTTTGGTGTCCCAAGCCCCCCCCTTTGGTGTCCCAAGCCCCCCCCTTGATGGCCCAAGCCCCCCCCCTTGGTGGCCCAAGCCCCCCCCCTTGGTGGCCCAAGCCCCCCCCCCTTGGTGGCCCAAGCCCCCCCCCCTTGGTGGCCCAAGGCCCCCCCCTTTGATGGCCCAAGCCCCCCCCTTTGATGGCCCAGTGCCCCCCCTTTGGTGGCCCAAGCCCCCCCCTTGGTGGCCCAAGCCCCCCCCTTGGTGGCCCAAGCCCCCCCCTTGGTGGCCCAAGCCCCCCCCTTGGTGGCCCAAGCCCCCCCCTTTGATGGCCCAAGGCCCCCTTGGTGGCCCGTGACCAATTCTTGGTGGCCCTCCCTCACGGTGACCTGTGGCCCCTCTCCATGCTGGCGCTCGGTGGCCGACTCACGGCACCTTGTAGCCCCTCCATCATGGCGGCCTGCAGCCCAACTCGCGGTGGCCCGTGACCCAACTCAGTGCCCCCAGCTCTTGGTGGCCCACCCCCAACTTATGGAGGTCACCTCTCTTGGTGGCCCACCCCCAACTCTTGGTGGCCCCCATCATGGCAGCCCACCCCCAAATCATGGCCACCAACTCATGGCCACCCTTGGTTGCCCACTCCCAACTCACGCTGGCCATTTCCTGATTGCCCACCCCCATTTTGGCAGCCCTCATCCAAATCATGGCCAATTCTTGGTTGCCCACCCCCCAAATCATGGCCACCAACTCGTGGCCTCCTCTTGGTTGCCCACCCCCAACTCTTGGTTGCCCACCCCCAACTCTTGGTTGCCCACCCCCAACTCTTGGTGGCCCCATCATGGCAGCCCACCCCCAAATCATGGCCACCAACTCACAGTGGCCACCTCTTGGTTGCCCACCCCCAACTCTTGGTGGCCACTTCTTGGTTTCCCACCCCCAATTCTTGGCAGCCAACTCTTGGTTGCCCACCCCCAACTCTTGGTTGCCCACCCCCCAACTCTTGGTTGCCCACCCCCAACTCTTGGTTGCCCACCCCCAACTTTTGGTGGCCCCATCATGGCAGCCCACCCCCAAATCATGGCCACGACTCCTGGTTGCCCCCTCTTGGTTGCCCACCCCCAACTCATGGCCACCAACTCATGGCTGCCAACTCTTGGTTGCCCACTCCCAACTCTTGGTGGCCACTTCTTGGTGGCCCACCCCCAACTCTTGGTTGCCCACCCCCAGTTCTTGGTGGCCACTTCTTGGTTGCCCACCCCCAGTTCTTGGTGGCCACTTCTTGGTGGCCCACCCCTGACTCTTGGTGCCCCACCCCCACCTCTTGGTGGCCCACTCCCACCTCTTGGTGGCCCCCCTCTTGGCAGCCCACCCTCAAATCATGGCCACCAACTCATGGCCACCTCTTGGTGGCCCACCCCCAACTCTTGGTGGCCCACCCCCAACTCTTGGTGGCCCACCCCCAACTCTTGGTGGCCCACCCCCAACTCTTGGTTGCCCACCCCCAACTCTTGGTTGCCCACCCCCAACTCTTGGTTGCCCCACCCCCAACTCTTGGTGGCCCCATCATGGCAGCCCACCCCCAAATCATGGCCACAACTCCTGGTTGCCCCCTCTTGGTTGCCCACCCCCAAATCATGGCCACCAACTCATGGCTGCCAACTCCTGGTTGCCCACCCCCAACTCTTGGTTGCCCCACCCCCAGTTCTTGGTGGCCACTTCTTGGTTGCCCACCCCCGACTCTTGGTTGCCCACCCCCAACTCCTGGTTGCCCACCCCCAACTCCTGGTTGCCCACCCCCCAACTCCTGGTTGCCCACCCCCACCTCTTGGTGGCCCCCTCTTGGCAGCCCACCCCCAAATCATGGCCATCAACTCATGGCTGCCTACTCTTGGTTACCCACCCCCAGTTCTTGGTGGCCACTTCTTGGTGGCCCACCCCCGACTCTTGGTTGCCCACCCCCATCTCCTGGTTGCCCCCCCTTGGTTGCCCCCCTTGCCGCCCTCCCCCCTCCCCACGTTGTGTCCCCATCTCAGGACTCGGGCTGCTGGGGGTCGCACCTGAACCGGCAGCCGAAGCTCCCCGGGATGCGGCAGCAACCAGCAGCAGCAGCGTCGGCGCAGCTCTACGGGATGAGGCTGAAGGCCAACCTGGGCACGGCCATACAGGTGTGGGGCTGTGGGGTGGGCATGGCCCTATAGATGTGGGGCTGTGGGGTGGGCATGGCCCTATAGATGTGGGGCTGTGGGTTGGACGCAGACCTATAGATTTGAGGCTGTGGGGTGGGTGAAGCTCTACTAGTGTGGGGCTGTGGGGTGGGCGCAGCCCTATAGATGTGGGGCTGTGGGGTGGGCGCAGCCCTATAGATGTGGGGCTGTGGGGTGGGCGCAGCCCTATAGATGTGAGGCTGTGGGGTGGGTGCAGCTCTACAGGTGTGGGGCTGTGGGGTTGGGCACAACCCTACAGGTGTGGGGCTGTGGGGTGGGCGCAGCCCTACAGGTGTGGGGCTGTGGGGTGGGCGCAGCCCTACAGGTGTGGGGCTGTGGGGTGGGCGCAGCCCTACAGGTGTGGGGCTGTGGGGTTGGGCACAACCCTATAGGTGTGGGGCTGTGGGGGTGGGCATGGCCCTACTGGTGTGGGGCTGTGGGGTGGGCACAAGCCCTATAGATTTGGGGCTGTGGGTTGGGTGCAGCCCTACAGATGTGGGGCTGTGGGGTGTGCAGGGGAAGCTGTTCCTCCAGCAGAGGGACGCGTTGCTCCAGAAGCGTGGAGCCGGGGGGGGGGGGGGGGGGGGGGGGGGGCCGCGATTTACCCTTCAGGAAACCCCGCAGAGCCTGGCAGCTGTCGGACGGTTTGAGGTGAAACCGAGGCCTTTTGGGGCTGCGGAGGCTGACGCGGGGCATCGCCCCCGTTCCTCTCTGCCCGTCCTCAGGAGGAGGCGCCGTCGGCGGTGAAGAGGAGCCTGGCCTGCAGGAGGAAAATCGCGGCTCCACGGCGCCGCGCCGCCTCCCCGAGCACCGATGGCGACGACGAATCGGCCCCAGGCCTCCCCGAATCGGCCCCCAGGCCTCCCCGAATCGGCCCCAGGCCTCCCTGAATCGGCCCCAGGCCTCCCTGAATCGACCCCAGGCCTCCCTGAATCGACCCCAGGCCTCCCCTGCGCCCTGCGCCGCCTGGCCCCCCGTCGTCCTGAATGCAGCCTCGAAGCCTCGACCGCAGGCGGATCGATTCCGGAAGCTGAAGGAAATGGTGGCGCGGAGATTGGGGTCGCTGGATCCAGGGTGGCT